GGGCTATTAATCGAAGCCAGTCATTCATTAACCCTCAGGAAGTTTTCTGTGCCAAAGTCATTATTATTATTATAAACTAAACCCCAAGCCTCAAATGGGTGTATGGCTACTTTCCTCTCCAGGATGTTCAATATATGAGTCACCCAGGGAGCTTGAATCATTTCCTAAATTCCCTTCTGGTTCGTGGGGAGTCTGGCTTTGTATCATGCCCTGTTGCTGCAGGAATCCAGCAAAAGCCCTCTCGAAAGGTAACAATCACTCCTGCCTTTTTAATAAGGTCCTGAGAGGCTCTGGCAGGCAGCTGAGGGTCCAGTTTAGGTTCTTCTATCCTTTCACGCTGTAACATTGTAGCTGGCAACATGGCCCCTCTGGCTGAAGACTGCGTTTCCCAGGCTCCTTTGCAGTGGGCTTGGTCATGTGATGAGGGACCTGTTGGCAGAAGTGAGGGGAGTCATTTCTTGAGCTGGCCCTCAAAGAATTGGAAGGGTGATCCCCTCTCCACTCCCAGTGCTTTCCACTTTTCCTGTGCTGGAAGGAGATGACAGGCATTGGAGCAGGTTCCTCAGAAGAAGAGACGGTCCAGTAGCCATTGAGGACGTCAGCTGACCAAACAGCCGGGAACTGCTGATTGTTACATGGGAAAGAAATCAACTTTTGTTAAGATTTCCCAAGGGGTAAAGAACTACCCATTTAATATTTGAAGGGGAAGGCAAATAAAAGAACATCTCCTGAGACCCTGTGATAGTTCCTAACACATGTAATCTTATCTAATCTTTATCATAAAACTAAGAGGGGTGTAATTTTACCCCATTTTACAGACAAGGAAAGTGAGGCCAACACAACCTAAGTAATGTTCCCAAGTTGCTACACTCCACAGCAGAAACAAGATTTAAATCTAGGTTGTCTGACATCAGAGCCCATGTTTTGCTGTTTGTTTTGTTCCATGTTTAATTGAGGTCTACTTAACATGTAACATTATACTTGTTTCAGGTGTACAACGTAATGATTCAATATTTTTACATATTGTAGAATGACCACCATAATAAGTCTAGTTAACATCCATCACCATCTATAGTTACAAACTTTTTTCTTGTGATGAAAACTTCTAAGATCTACTGTCTTAACATCTTTCAACTATGTAATAAAAGGTTGTTAATTATAGTCACCATGCTGCACATTACGTCTGTCACCGTGACTTATTTTAAAACTGGAACTTGGTACCTTTTGAGCCCCTTCAGCCATTTCACCCAACTACCTCCCCTCCCTGCCTCTGGCAAATACCAATCTTCTCTTTGAATATATGAGTTCTGTTGTTGTTGTTGTTTTAGATTCCACATGTAAGTGAGATCATGTGACATTTTCCTTTCTCTGTCTTATTTCATTCACCATAATGCCCTCAGTGGCAATATTTCACTCTCTTTTATGGCTGAGTAATATTTAATTATGTACATATAGAGAAAATATGAGATTGCATATATGTAAATGTTTTCTATATGCACTCATCTGTTGGTGGATACTTAGTTTGTTTGCATGTCTTGGCTACTGTAAATAATGCTGCAGCGAACATGGGAGTGCATATATCTTTTCAAATTAGTGTTCTCATTCTCTTCAGGTAAACACCCAGGAGTGGAATTGCTGGATCATATGGTAGTTCTATTTTTAATTTTTTTGAGGAACCTCCATATTGTCTTCCCTAGTGTCTGCACCAATCTATACTCCCACCCACAGAGCGAGAGTGTCCCCTTTCTCCATACCCTGGACAATATTTGTTAGTTCTTGTCTTTTTAAAATAATATAATAACCATTCTAACAGATGTGAGATGACAACTCATTGTGGTTTTGATTTGCATTTCCCTGATGATTACTGATATTGAGCATCTTTTCTTCTATGTCTCAGTCATCTGTATACTGTCTGTGAAAAAAATGTCTCTTCATATCCTCTGCCCATTTCTAAAATCAGATTGCTTTCTATTGATCTCTATGAATTCTTTATATATTTCAGATATTAGGCCCCGATCAGATATAAGATTTGCAAATATTTTCTCCCATTCATTAGGTTGCCTTCTCATTTTGTTGATGGTTTCCTTTGCTGTGCAGCTTTTCAGCTTACTGTCAGGGCCCACATTTTATCAACTGCTCCCAAAATAAGAAATAAGCTGATCTTTAGGTTGGGGAATTTTTCATCTAAGTCTTTGACTGGAATGCAAAACACCTGGTTTATGGAAATATCCAGGAGAAAAGGCTTCATAAACATTCTTTAAAAAGCGGTGCTTTGCATCAATTATGGAGAGAAAATGTCTTTTGTTAGCATGGTGAAAAAAGGGCTCAGAATATGATTGCTGCTCCCCTTCCCTGTTCCTTTAAGAAGCTGTTGCTCCCCAAGCTGGTGTGGTTCTGGGCCTCAGTGCCCCCGAGGAGGTGGCGACAATGGTGCAGTTCTGGCCAATCAGGGGCCTCCACGGCTCCTGCCAACCTGGAAGGGCAAGGGAAGGACATGTGACCAAGCAGAGCTGTCCAGCTCATCCACAATTCACATGTCCCTGCTGGGAGAGAGAGATGCTCCCTTTGCCCCCTCTGGGCATCAGGCCATGAAGACCTGGGAGGGCGGCATCACATTTCTTTGGCCGAGGACCCAGGATCTGCAGCCAGAGCTGGAAGGAATGATGCCTGGGAGGACTAAGCTTCGGGGGCCAAGGGGTGGTGGACGAATTCCCAGCCCTGCTCATCCCTGAGCAGAAATACTACATTAATAAGTAAAATCCCCCTTTGCCCTAAACTGGGCCGGGTTTGCTTTCTCTTATTTGCCAATTAAAGCCTCCTAATACCATAGGGAAGTGGGTCTGAGTGCAAAAAGCAAGCTCATAATTTTAATACTTATATCTTTATATGTATTTCTTGTATCTTTATTCTTACATAATATTATATATGGAACTTATGATTATTTACTGTAGTTATAAGGGCTTCTCTGATGGCTGAGCGGTAAAACATCCACCTGCCAATGCAGGAGACATGGGTTCAGTCCCTAGGGTGGGAAGATTCCCTGGAGAAGGAAACAGCAACCCACTGCAGTATTCTTATCTGGGAAATTCCATGGACAGAGGGGCCTGTGGGCTATAGTCCATGGGGTCACAAAGAGTCAGACACGACTTAGTGATCTAAACAATAATCACCATTGTATTTATACTTATGTGGAGGATATGTTTATGTATTTATTGATTATTTTCACATTTACAGTCTATATCATATTATCATGTATTTCATAAATTTTATAAATTCTGAGAATTTCAGGCATACTCCGTTTTCAGATGAAACCACAAAGACAAATACCAGCGTGAAATATTTGGAACTGCCATCTTTTCATCTGGCTCCTGTAGAATGGGTTTCTGTGTATTTCATAAATAAGGTCTAGTCCCCATTTTTAGCTTGTAAGTTCCCAAGGATGCAGATGGTAGTTTCTGACTTAACCACCAGACCCCCACCCCATGAGATGTCAGCTGTGCGTACTTCAGGTCTGTAAATGTGTCCTTCTACCTGAATTGCCATTTTTGTCTAACAAAGCTCATCCTATGATTAACCACTTTCATTTTCTCTTCTTTAAAGGTGAGTAACAACTCAAAACGGATTTCGCTAGCTTTTCACAGCTTTCTACACTCTGGCCCCAAGTAAGACTGTCTTTCCATCTCTTTTCTCTGGGGCCAGTCCTCATGTGTGTGGACACATTTGGGGGTAACTTCAGGGCTTTGGGGTCCCTACCTATCCCAGGGCCTCAGCACTTGCTTCCTGAGGTTTAAAAGTCCTTCTTGGTGGGGACTTCCCTGTGGGTCCAGTGGTTAAGACTCCACACTTCCACTGTGGGGAGCACGGATTCAATCCCTGGTCAGGGAACTAAGACCCCGCATGTTGTGTGGTGAGGTCAGGAGTAAACAAACCTGTCCTTATTGTTTATAAATAAAGTCCTTCTTGGTGGAGCACTGCCCTCGGTCTTCAGAGATGACTTAAAAAGGGACTCCACCTGGCTGAGGGACGAATTATCTATGGAGTGTCTACTGTATGCCTGGCAGTATAATTTCCGTGGGAAATAAAAATAGGGGGAGGGTTTATTCAGAATGTATTGAGGATTTCAAGATATGAACAGCAAAGCACTAAACCAAGTGCAGGGCGCTCTGAGCACAAGGCCAACGTGGCTGCAGGCAAGCTGGCTCTGCTGGAAGTGTTTCAGCAGCCGGGGACACAGGGTGACAACATAAACCAACACTCTTACCCTTGTGGAGTTACATTCCAGCAAGACGAGGGAGACAATACATATCAGATAGCAAAATGAAACTAATAAGTTTCCCCCAGGTAAAAACATATAGAATAGTAGAAGATCATCCGTGCTATGGGGGACACAGATCAGGAAAGTGGGGCAGGGGGAGTTAGGGATCAGGGAAGGGGGTCATTTTCTATTTTCATTAGGATGATCAGGAAAGACCTCACCAAGAAGGGGGATTTGTGTAAGGAGACAAGGGATGCTCCAAGCAGATATGTAGGGGAAAGACTTTCAGGCAAAGGGAACAGCACACAGAGGTTCTGATCGGGGGAGCAAGCTCCCTATGGCGAAGGAAGAGCATTTGGCGGGAGGCGAGTCAGCGGGGCCGGGCAGCACCAGGTGACATCAGAGAGAAGACTCTAAAGGATTCCATCTGAGGCCGCGGCCGTTATCCACGTGGCAGATGCTGGCAGCTTGAGGCAGGATGGATCAGGAGATGGTGAGAATCGGTCAGGCTGAGGATGCCTTCGGAGGGCAGAGCCCGAAAGGAGAAGCATCAGACGGGAGCAAAGCCGACTTCAAGCTCCTTGGCCTGAATAATGAGAAGATGCCATCCACCAAGAGAAGTGAGTGGGGAAGGGCGGTTTGGGGGTATCTGAGGCGCTCAGTCTTGAACAAGCTTTGTCTGAGATGCTCATTTGCTGCTCCCACAGAGGCACCGAGGGGGCAGCTGGAGACATGAATTCTGGAGTCAGGGGGTGGGGTCCAAGCGGGAGATGCCCACGTGGGCGTCGTCAGAGGTGACGTAGGACACAAGGCGGGAAGGACCCTCTGAGAACTTCGGCCCACCTGGAGATGAGGCCCACACTGACGCTTCTAGCTGGGTGGGAAAAGAGACAAACACAGGAAAAGGAGTTCAGAGTCAGGTGTCAGAAGGCGGGGCGTGGCCGGGGCCACGCCTGGAGGAATGAGGATGAGGACACAAGACACACTGGCCGGAACCGGAAATGCTGAGCCCGGGAGGCCGCGCGCAGAGGCCTCCGGGCGACTCCCTGAACCCTCACCCGCCACCTCTCAACCAGCAGCAGGCCTGGTCCACGACAGCTCTGAAGCGCCTGCCAGGTTGACCCAATCCTTTCCTTGTTACCAGCGCTGCAGGGAAAAATGCAGAGCTCACCTCTGCTCTAACTTGCCTCGGATGCTTCCTCTTCTCAGGAGTACCTGGTCTTAGAGTATAAACCACATCTCATCCATCACTTGTTTAAAACCTACATTTATAAACTTCTCAGTGCATTTCAGCTTTAGGTGAGCTTTTTTTTTTTTTTAACCCACAAATGCAATTTTTTTCTGGTTCTAAGCTCAACGTGATAATAATAAGATGTGACATCTTTCTTTCTTTAAGATTTTTTATTTTGTATTGTTTTTTCGTTGTCGTTCAGTTGCTAAGTCGTGTCTGACTCTTTTCGACCCCATGGACTGCAGCACACCAGGCTTCCCTGTCCTTCACTATCTCCCGGAGTTCGCCCAAACTCATGCCATTCAACCACCTCGTCCTCTGTCGCTCCCTTCTCCTCCTACCCTCAATCTTTCCCAGCACCAGGGTCTTTTCCAATGGGTTGGCTCTTTGCATCAGATGTTCAAAGTACTGAAGTTTCAGCTTCAGTATCAGTCCTTCCAATGGATATTCAGAGTTGATTTCCTTGAGGATTGACTGGTTTGATCTCTTTGCTGTCCAAGGGACTCTGGAGAGTCTTCTCCAGCACCAGAGTTCAAAAGCGTTAATTCTTTGGTGCTAAGCCTTCTTGATGGTCCATCTCTCACAGCCAAACATGACTGCTGGAAAAACCATAGTTTTGACTATATCAACCTTTGTCAGCAAAGTGATGTCTCTGGTTTTTAATATGCTGTCTAGGTTTGTCATAGGTTTTTTTTTACAAGGAGCAAGAATCTTTTAATTTCATGGCTGCAGTCACCATCTGCAGTGATTTTGGAGCTCAAGAAAATAAAGTCTGTCACTGTTTCCATTGTTTTCCCACCTATGTGCCATGGAATGATGGGGTTGGATGCCATGATCTTTTTTTGAATGTTGAGTTTTAAGCCAGCTTTTTCACTGTCCTCTTGCACCCTCATCAAGAGGCTTTTTACCTCCTCTCCACTTTTTGCCACTAGGGTGGTATTATCTGCATATCTGAGGTTATTAATACTTCTCCTGGCAATCTTGATTTCAGCTGTGCTTCATCCAGCCAGGCATTTTGTATGATGTACTCTGCATATAAGTTAAATAGGCAGGTTTAAATAAGCAGTTTAACATATTATACAAATAAATATTATCTAATATAATAACTTATATTAAATAACTTAAATATAAGTTAAATATACAGCCTTTTTATACTCCTTTCCGAATTTGGAACCAGTCCATTGTTCCATGTCCAGTTCTAACTGTTGCTTCTTGACACACATACAGATTTCTCAGGAGGCAGGTAAGGTGGTCTGATATTCCTATCTCTTGAAGAATTTTCCACAGTTTGTTATGATCCACATAGTTAAAGGCTTTAGCATAGTCAATAAAGAAGAAGTAGATGTTTTTCTGGAATTCTCTTGCTTTTTTCTATGATTCAATGGATGTTGGCAATTTGATTTCTGTGTTTTCTAAATCCAGCTTGAGTATCTGGAAGTTCTTGGTTCATGTACTGTTGAAGTCTAGCTTGAAGGATTTTGAGCATTATTTTGCTAGCGTGTGAAAGGAGTGCAATTGTATGGTAGCTTGAACATTCTTTGGCATTTCCTTTCTTTGGGACAGAGATGAAAACTGGCCTTTTCCAGTCCTGTGGCCTCTGCTGAGTTTTTCAAAGTTGCAGGTATAATGAGTGCAGCACTTTCACAGCATCATCTTTGAGGATTTGAAATATCGCAAATGGAATTCCATCACCTCCACTAGGTTTGTTAGTAGTGATGCTTCCTAAGGCCCATTTGACTTTATACTCCAGGATGTCTGGCTCTGTGTAAGTGACCACACCATCATTAAGACCTTTTTTATATAGTTCTTCTGTGTATTCTTGCTACCTCTTCTTGATCTCTTCTGCTTCTGTTCGGTCCATACCATTTCTGTCCTTTATTGTGCCCATCTTTACATGAAATGTTCCCCTGGTATCTCCAATTTATTGAAGAGATCTCTAGTCTTTCCCATTCTATTGTTTTCCTCTATTTCTTTGCATTGTTCACTTAAGAAGGCTTTCTTTTCTCTCCTTGCTGTTCTCTGGAACTCTGCATTCAGATGGATATATCTTTCTTTTTCTCCTTTGCCTTTTGCTTCTTGTCTCAGCTATTTGTAAGGCCTCTTCAGACAACCATTCTGCCTTTTTGCATTTCTTTTTCTTAGGGATGATTTTGATCATCACCTCCTGTACAGTGTTACGAACCTACGTCCACAGTTCTTCAGGCACTCTGTCTATCAGATCTAATCCCTTGAATCTATTTGTCACTTCCACTGTATAATTGTAAGGGATTTGATCTAGGTCATATCTGAATGGCGTAGTGTTTTCCCCTACTTTCTTCAATTTAAGTCTGAATTTGACAATAAGGAGTTCATGATCTGAGCCACAGTCAGCTCCTGGTCTTGTTTTTTACTGACTATATAGAGCTTCTAGATTTTTGGCTGCAAAGAATATAATCAATCTGATTTCAGTATTGACCCTCTGGTGATGTCCGTGTGTAGAGTCGTCTCTTGTGTTGTTGGAAGACGGTGTTTGCTATGACCAGTGTGTTCTCTTGGCAAAACCCTGTTAGCCTTTGCCCTGCTTCATTTTCTACTCTAAGGCCAAACTTCCCTGTTACTCCAGGTCTCGCTTAAGCCTGGCTCATTGGCCAGACAGGAGAACATTCTTCATGCCTGGGATTCCCATCCTGGGGAGGTCCAGGCTTCTTCATATGACTGTTTCGGTGCTGACACACAGGTTTGGAATCAATCCCCCTGTGACAATCAGCTGCTTTAACCAATGAAGCTGGGAATCATCAAACATTTAAGCTGAAAGCCATCTCTAAGATCAACCACTCAGATGAGGAAGAGAAGCTGGGACTGCTGATGGAGGGATGGCAGTGCCAGTGTCAGGACCACAATGGGGTCCACCTGCAGCTGGGGTTGGGTCAGCCTCTGCCATCAGGACCCCTGGGCTGGGGGGCTGCAGGCCCAGCACGCAGGTGTCGACAAAGTGCCTGGGATCCAGCCCCTCACGCTGACAGCAGGGACTTGGGCATGAGACTCCTGCCTCTTGGAGGCTAATGGCTGCAACTGCAAATGCTCATTGCAAGAGAAGGAAAACTTTTTCAGAAAAATAATCACGGTTTGATATTCTGACTCCACCTTGATCCAGAACACAGCAGGAGGGAGTACTGAAAGATTTAGTGCTTTGACTTCAGGGGATGGTGGATTTAGATGAGATTGATTTTTTTTCTTCTATTTTTGTTCCCCAACAATCTCATGAATAAGTTGCTTCAACAAACTCTGTATCTCACATGTACAATATGTGTGTTTATTCGACAAATATTTATTGTGTTTCTACCATTCAGTCATTGCACAAATGTTTATTAGAGGCTTAATCCATTCTAAAGGATATCAGTACTGAATATTCATTGGAAGGACTGATGCTGAAGCTGGAACTCCAATACTTTGGCCACCTGATTCGAAGAACTGACTCATTGGGAAAGACCCTGATGCTGGGAAAGATTGAAGGTGGGAGGAGAAGGGGATGACAGAGGATGAGATGGTTGGATGGCATGACTGACTCAACGGACATGAGTTTGAGTAAACTCTGGGAGATGGTGAAGGACAAGGAAGCCAGAAGTGCTACAGTCTATGGGGTCTCAAAGAGTCGGACACGACTGAGCAACTGAACTGAACTGAATACTCAGCGAGGTGCTGCGCCAGTGTTGGTTGAAGCGGGCGTGATTGGCGTTCTCCCCAGGCTCACCATCTGTGTAGCAGGTACTGGAGAGGGCTTGCCCTCTGTCTTATCTCTCTCCCCTCACTCCCTCCATTCTCTTGCCTCCCTCTCTCCTTCCATCCTTCCCTTCCTCCCTGCCGCCCTTCCCAAGCCCCATCACCCTGGGGAATACGATGCTATACTGTGAATAGGAATGGATGGTGTTCCTTCCACTTTACCTGTACCTGCTTTTGCAAAATCTCCAACCTCTCTGCAAAGCCCACCTCCAGTAGTTTACTGATATCCCAGAGGAAGTATGACTTTTAGAAATTCTTCCCTAGCAAAATTTAACTCTTATCTTGAGCCCCCATGATTCCATGTCATCTTAGGGTTCCAGGTTTTCCCTGGGGTTATATATGTCCCAAGGGGCTTTGAGGTGCCAAGATATGTCTGGGGGTCCCTCCAGTCATTGCTGAATGTCCATGGAGTTGTCCATGGTCACTGGTCCACACAGGTTGCCAAGGACCCCTCCCCTGCCGGAAGCTGTATGCAGTCCATAAGCTCTGTGTTTCCCATCCACACTTGGGTGCACAGTAACCTGCCCCTGCTCCTCCCTACGGTGGGGGCCAAGGCCCCTTCACCTGGCAGCTTTTCCCCCTTTGGGGTCCAGGCCCTGCTGGTTAGATGCTACCTGAGCGAAGAGGCACAGGACTCCCCGTGACCAGATCCACATGGAGGTCAGTCCAGCACTTGCCCTGGGGTCGGGATAGAGGGTCCTTCTCATTGGGACCCACAAGCCCTCGAGGCCCATTGCTCACCCCAGGGGAACTTCACTTCATCTGGAACATGTGTTCTCTGGGCACTCTTCCCAGCCTGTCACCTAACGGTGATCTTGGTCCTTTCCACGTCCCTGTGTTGCTTAGTCGTATCCAACTCTTTACAACCCCATGGACTACAGCCC